CACGATAAATTGTAAGGAACACCGTCACATCAATCAAAACAATATCTTTACTTTTTACCGGCCTCGTGTCACCCTTAGGAGTAAGAGTAGAGTAGATTTTGACGAGTTCTTCGGACAAGCAGGGCTGCATCAGCTGATTGACGTCCGGCTTGTTTATGAGTATCCATCACCCCTTATATTATTACTTGTAAGGCTACATCAGCTGATTGATCTCTTACGAGCCGTGATATAGGTTAGTTATCGATATTGTGCTAGATGGTTTAATATTTGGCATAATATCACCAATTGCTCGATCTAGATTAAAGGTTTCTCGGTCCTTATCTTTCGATCTATCGTCTGTTATCTGTTTTAATGTTAAAATCTACCTTTTGTCGTTAGATCCTGCTTTACTTGACCGTTTTACCTCTACCTAGATCGATCATAGCGAGTGTTTGGAGCCCAGTTCCCATTAAGGAATAGGTTCCCTAGTCATCGACCTCCGATTTGCTGTCTTTGTTATCAATCTGTTGGTAGCGCACTAGATCGGGTTTTGATGGATAACGGATCTACTCGTCGACACACTCTTGGCACGTTCAGTGGGACCACAATCGTTTGATTGGAAGTCAAATGCTTTCTGGATATTCTATTTGCTTCCAAATCACGGTGAGGCTGAATTTTCATCTACAACAAAAGGCCGATGTCATTATTCGGCCATCTATTCATCAAGGCCTCAGCATCTGGCATCAACAAACGACATATCATACTCTGAGGCCGATTTCAATTATGCCTAAAAAATCACCAAACCTGATTAAAGGCAGCAAGCAATTTTTTATCTATTAGAATTCACGAGAACCAAGATCTATTTTTCTTGAGGCATGGATCATTGTCAAATCTCACGAAGGAAATCAAGTAATGATTATTTATTGGATCGGACTTGATTTTGGACTAGTGCATGGAGCATGGCGTGACTGCAGAAAGGACAAAGATCGGAATATTGACACTTGGTTCAACTTGTATGTACAAATACCGTATGCGCCGGTGCACCTACCAAGGATGTGTTTTCAATCAGTATTGGTATAGGAACAGTAGCGGCCTGTAAATCGCTTCCCCCGCAACGTCCATCTCGATGCTCAGAAAGTACTGGTGACACGTGTGCATGTGCATGCACTACAGGTGATGGGGTCGTGGCTGCTCCATGTTATGTGCTCATACCTGTGAGGTTTGACCTGTCCCAGGTGTCGAAGGAGCTGCACTTGGTTGGTCTGTAGCTGCCACGTCGCTGGAGAAATCATCCTGGTGTCCAGTGAATGTGTCATCTCCTGTATCCTACACAAATAGCATCACTGGAGCCCAAGCTGATGTATGTTACATCGCATCAGTTCGCGGATAAGACAAAGTACAGAGACCGAGCAGTTTAGCGACCGACAGAATTTTTCATCGGCTAAATAGCTATCGGCTCATACATATAGAAAAGGAACGCCAATGGCCCTGTTCGCATCACTCAAAAGGCATGGCTAAAAGTATTGTTCACTGATTTATTAGGAGAGAAAAAACTATTTTTTTACTGAAATAGTACGGCTCATAAGATAAACGAACATGACCATAGTGTCGTAGAAGCTAACAGTGGTGATGATAAAAGTAGCTCAAAAAACAAAAGAATGTGCAGGTTAGATTCGAGGGGCAGATCTACTTATATTCAAGAGTGCAACACATCGGCAATGCAAAATAGCAACTCACACTCAGGTACTACTGTAGCGGCTGGCAAGATGTGTCATCACACAGCAGCATCACGCAGCCTGTTCGTTTGGCTATGGCTTGTCGTAAACGATCGTAAATTTCCAGCCGGAACAATATTTTTCTCTCACATAAACCAGCCAGCAGTACTTCTTCACGAACCAGCAATGATACGAACCAGCCAACCGAACATGCTGACGGTTCTGACGGTGGGCCAATGTACGCGTCAGGGCCATGAACACAGTCGCATAACAGCAACAAGCCAGTGCAGGGGCAGGCGTTTAGTATCAGCAAAATAACCTAGCCACCAGGACAATCGACGTGTGGCCATTACAGCACAAATAAAATGAGAAGAAGAAGAAATGATTGTCAATACTGACGTTGAAAGTCGATGAGACATGTCTACCGGCTAGGTGTCATTCAGATAGATCTGGTGCCAAGTTAATTAAGGGGTATTAAATATTGAGTTAATGGTCCAAGCTATGGCTCTGTTTGACTAATATCAAATCAGCTGGTACGGCTGATTTGTTATAAGAGAAAAATATTGTTTTATAACTGATTTGTACACATTAAAACCGGCTCAATAGCAAAAACGAACAGGCCATATATCTTAAGGTCTTTCATCGGCTATCGTTGCTTGGTATGATAGACGGCCGATGAAGGAAATAACGAAGGATAACCAATAACTCGTGGAATATTTTGGACGACGGCACTAGAGGAACTATCAGTTAGCACTACTGCAGTCCGTCGTATATATCGGTCATACGGAGCTGATGCAAATTACAACCAAGATGTCACAAATCAAGAAGATGATTATTTGCTGTATAACAAAGACGACCGTACCTCTCAAATATATATGTCCAAGTATAATTCCTATAAGAATTTTGCTATTTTTCTATCAACAGATTTTGTTGTTATTTATCTGTCAAATTTTGGGTCGTTGATTTGTTTTGAGATTCGTGCGGCTGTTTTAATGATGGGTCCGCCACGCTACGGGTTTGCCTTTGAAACCCGCTTACCTGTTATTTTCAAAATCCGCGTCCAACCCTCGGCCTGTTTATTTGTCTGTGGCGTGTGGTAAACGATGATAAATTTCCAGAACAGTATTTTCTTCCGCAAACCAGCAGCGGTACTTTTTCGCGAAACAGCGAAATCTTTTCATCTCCCACCGCGTTTTTCCCCAATCCTCTCTCCGATTCCGTCGGTTTCTCGCACGCGCGCCGGCGCAGGCAGTGGGCGCAAGGCCCTCGCCGCTGCTTCCCTTGCGCCGCGACTTGCCGCACCGCTCCACTCCGCTCTCTGGTCGTTTCGGCTCGCTCGCTTGCGCCGCACCGCTCTTCCGCGTCTCTTTCGCTCGCTTGCGCCGTGCCAGTCGCCAGGCTATTCGATCGGCGGCTGCTGCGCTGAGCTATGGCTGGCTGTGGGTGGGGCGCAGGCGGTGGTGGTCGGACTTCGGCGGTCGTTCCACCGAGCTGTGCGAGCTGCCGTTGAGGCGCTGTCTTTGCCCGCCGCTCCCCTCAATTTTGTAAGTGTAATTTGTTCTTTCGCATGGTTGTTCGTTGATTTTGTTTTTGTTGCTGATGGTCACCGTCGTCGGTGGATGCACAATAGTAGATCTGGATCGAGATATTCTATTTTGCGTTGGTTTTTCGGTAGCCGGCGAGGAACTCTGTGTGTGCGGTGGGGGGCTGGGGGAGAGGGGGTGGCGATGGTGCGGCGCCAACAGCCTGGAGGACGAGGACGAGTGGGAGGACGGGACGAAGAAGTTCGGTGCGGCGGCCACCTTCAAGATCCCTGACGAGGTCGACATCGCTCATCTTAGTTAGAATTTAGAAATCCGTCCGGCTGCTTCTGTGTCCCGTGCTGAGTTGTGCATGCAGTCCGGAGTTTAGAATTCGTTTCAGATTCAGTGTTCACTGCTGCTTTCAGTGATACTGCTCCCTTTGTTGTTTCATTTTTTTTTCCACGAGTTCAGATTTCAGAAGCTAACCACTGCTGTTAGTGAAACATATTAATCTGTAAATTTCAAGTTTAACAGACGTGTGGGCTGACTATATTTTCACTGACTGAAAATTTCTGTGCTACACCCAATGCGATTGCTCTATAACTCTCCTCCCTGGAATGACATGTATGCATCTGTTTGATGAATATATATGCTTGGGATGCACCTGAATCATGTATGTGCTAGCTTTTTATGTGATCTGCAGTCCAATGAAGGTTGTTTGCACTGTTGTCGACGTGTTCTAGCATAGCAGCTGGGATGCTCCTCCTTGCTTGTCGTTTGCTTTCTTTGTATTGATCGAGCATAGCTTGGGTTGTTTTTCTTTGTTTTGTTCATGTCTGAATTTAACCATGCAATTACGATTTGTATGTTGTTGGCTCAGTTCCAGTGATCTGATGGAAGCTAGTAGATTCTTGTTAATGGATTTGTAGTCTGTAGCATTTTCCGTCTGCCCCCAATGTGAAAATTGATATGGCTGAATGGGCATCCCTATTCGTCGCAATGCTTGCTAATTTCTAGCAATAGTGCATGTCATCATTACTTACTCTTTTTAGTTACTTTCTTGAGTGATTAAAACCTTTAGATTTGTCTGTTGAAAATATGATTAGTCAGTCTGAAAATTTTGTGAACTGCTTTTTTGCTTGTTCTAACTGCTTCGCATCATTTTTCACACCGCTTCACATCATTTCAATGATGAGTACAACTACTGCTTGTATCATACTGTATTAGTGTTATTAATTTGTGATATCTGAAGATAATTACACTGCTAAATCTCAGACTCTTCTGCTGTTGAGTTTCAGTTGGATGTGAGATGTGCTGTGCGTCTAACTCTGGGATCTCATTGCCATTTTCTCGTGTATGTTTTTTCTTGGTCTGTCATTTTTACAAGTTGAGCAATATCAGTAGTAGCAGCCATTTGAGCTCGTGTCTGCTTTTGTCCATGCTATTTTTGGTGTACGTACGTCTGGTTTTGACAGCTGGAAACAGATTGGGTCTAGTTAAAAACTATGACTAGGATGAGTTTGTGACGTCCTGCATGACTCTGTTTTTTAGAGTTGATAATGGAAAGTATATCTGCTTATGTTTGCTTGATTTGATATAGTGATTCAATGGCCATTGCTTTTTTAATTTGCACATTGTGTTCCTGGACTTGCTAGTGCTGATATCAGGCTTTTCAGTTGGCAATTCAATAAGATAGCTTATTCATTTCGCAATTTCTTACATCTTATTAAAGAATAGTTTTGCTGATTTTGGTTAGCTGTGTTCCTGGACAGGTGGAGTGGCAATGGAGAGTCTCCCATTTGATGGTCTTGATGATTTGTTGTTTGACATGTATAAGAAGCAGGTTTGTATATTTTTTTTGTTTTTGTTGATGCAATATATCTTTTATTTTCTCTCATTTTTATTGCTGTGGCAGGTTTTAAAGCACCTGAGAACTAAGATGACCCCTAATATGGTGAGGACCTTGCAAAGGATTAAGGTGAGTGAGCAATTTATTATTTTTAGAAAATTGGATGCTTTTGTAGATGTCTTTTTATCTGCCCGACTGAATGTTTTCTGCGGTATATCTACATGCTTTTTGTCTTGTACACATCTGAAAGGTCTTTTTTGAGATATTTGTGCATTTGTGCTGATAGACTCACTGAACTTGGTAACTTTTGTCATATTTTTGTGGTGATGTGTTGTTAGTTTTTATGGGCCTTTTCATGTGGGCCTTTTTTGATTTTTTTTCTTTTGTGGTGATGTTTTGTTTTATTTTTCTTTTTCTTTTCTTTTTTTGTTTTGGTTATAGCAGATCTGCATTTCTGCTGTTTTAGGTTTTTTTCTTCTGCTTTTATAGTTGTTTTAGTTTTTTTTTCTGGTGTGTGTGTGTGTTTTTTTTTTGGGTGTTTGGGCTTTCTTTATGTGTTTGGGTGTTTGTGTCTTTGAAGGTTTGTTTTTTTAGCTGTAGTTCTTTTTTGTCCTTTGCCTTGTGATTGTGTTTGTGTGTGTTCTTTTTCTGTGTGGGTGCATGTGTATCTTTTTCTCTGCCTCTCTCTCTCTCCCTCTGTTTGTGTGTGTGTGTCGTTTTTTTGTGTGTGTGGATGGGTGTGCGTTTTTTTCTGTGTACGTGTGATTTTTTTTTGTGGTTTTGTGTTTTTCTGTGCTTTTATTTTGGGTTTGTTTTTGCGGCTTAATTTTTTTGATGTGTCAATTATTTGTGTTTGTATTTTGCCTTTTAAGGGCCCCAAAGTTATTTGTTTTTTTTCCTGGGTTGTTTTTTGAGTTGCTGCTGCTGATTGGGCTGCTACTGATCAGCAGCAGCAGCAAATGCAGTTTCTGAACATTTCAATTGCTGCTGCTTTGCTGCTATTGATTAATTTGTTAGTGTGTGTCTCTCTGTTTGGGTGTGTGTGTGTCTTTGTGGGTGTGGGTGTGGGTGTTATTGTTTACTGGGTGTGTCTGTGTCTGTGTGTGGGTGTTCTCTCTCTCACTCACTCACTCTATTTGATGTATTGTGGACTTGCCACAATCTAGCTCTTATGTTGGGGGTTCAAGGATAGGTAGTTCTTCTGTGTTGATTCTTGTGATGCTCTTCTGTTCTGACAGGTTTCAAGTACAGCCTCTGTATAAGCACAGAGGCTTTCCTTGCTGAACTTGTTTTTTTTTTATCTCGAAATGGATGGGGTATGCTCACCGTGCGGTCTGACGCTAATGGCTTTCTTGTGATGCTCTTCTGTTCTGACAGGTTTCAAGTACAGCCTCTGTATAAGCACAGAGGCTTTCCTTGCTGAACTTGTTTTTTTTTTCTCGAAATGGATGGGGTATGCTCACCGTGCGGTCTGACGCTAATGGCTTTCAGGAAGATGCTGCTTCAAATGACGAGCAGCAGTGCCAATCTGAGTCTCAGTCTCAGGTAACTGAATGCGGTGAAATTGTACAAGTTCAGTGTGAAGCTACTTCCTTTTGTTACATCTTTTGAGCCAGCTGCATTTTAATTTGACGATTTGTAGGTTGTTTTGGCGAATCAGCACTGTGTTGTGATAGCTATGGTAATCGCCTACCATCCAAGGTTTCAAAGAAAAGGAAGCAAGGGGGGGTGAGCATGTGCTTTGTGGGCACTGAGAAAAGGTATATGGCTAATCTTTTTGAGTTGTGAGATACTTCATATCTGGTGTTTGCTACTTAGTTGCTTGAGCTATATCTGTAGTTCTCAGTAGCTTGTTTGCTACTAGAGATTTTTATTTGATCAAGTGTTACTCCCCACATTTCAGATTACTGCCAGCTGATTGATATAACTGAGGATGGATTTGTATGCTTCTTTTTTGACTCTTATATTCACAGATGAAAATCTGCTCGTGTTAATTTTCTTTTTTAACTCTGTACTTGGTCAGCACATAACGCAGGTCAGCCTTGCTGACTGAAAGTGGAGGCACCAAGGAGGATCTTTAGCTCCCTACTGATGAAACTCTGCTTACCCAGGTTAGAGCTCTGTACATTTGTATGCTGGCTTTGGGGTAGGTGTGTGAGTGGGGCTGTGTCTGTTTTTCTGGCTGTGTTTGTTTTTTGTGGGTGCTAGATTTGGTTTGTGTGTGCGTGTGTCTTTGTGTGACTGGTTTCTAGTTGCTGAGGTTGCTTCGAACTGATTATCTGTGGTTGCTTAACATGTGTATGTTTTTTTGAATCAATCTTTGTGGTTATTATCTGTGTCATGTCAACCTTTTTTTGGGGTGGCGATTTTGCTAAGCAGCTGGCATTTTTGTAGATGTGTTTGCTAGCTCTGATGTGTTTGCTAGCTGCATTTTGTTTTTCAGGTAAACTATATGTTTTTTGTAGGCAGCACTTTATGACTATATCTGCAGATCTGTTGTACTGGTTGTATTTGTTTGTTGCCTTTTTTCTTTTTCAAGCACCAAGAGAGTATGGAGATTGGTTTTTTTTTTGTGGGCCTTTTTTTGGGTGGTCCTATTTCTGTTTTTGGAGTGTCGTCATTTTCTATCTTTGCCCAGGTGCTTTTGAGAAAATGGTGGCTCTGACAATTGAATGTCATTTGCTCTCAATGTGTAAAGATTAGATTTCTCTGAATTTTGGTATATCTAAGCTTGTTTGTAGGTATGACCATTTGGTTTGCTTTTTTTTATTTTTGTGTGTTGCAATGTAAAAGTTAGATGCCCATTTCAGGTATACTCATGTGAGTGGACAGGTTTTAATTTTTAACTTCAAATGCAGAAGAAAAAGGAAACATTTTAACACTCTAGCTTACTTGCCATAGGGGCCACTTTGTACTGTTGGGCGATTGGTTGTTGAGAATGGAACTTTGAAGGTATCTATCAATCTGTTACCATTCTAGTATGAGCAAATATTCAGTTTCACTTTTTTTTTTCAACAACCAGTTTGTTAGATGTCTTTTTGGTGAGGCAGATTTTTTTTTTTTTGTGTCAGGTGATTTGGCCTCTCAGCAGGCACTAGCGGACGACAGAGAACTTCCAAGAGTTCAAGAGCTTCCTCAAGGACAACTTGGCACATCCAACCAATATTAAGGTTGGCACATCGCAACCCTGATCATTCAGAAAGTTAACTGAACATCTCTAAAGTTAATTCCTTTTGTGAACTTGTTCTCTGCAGAAGAGCCCAGAAGAGGAGGATAAGCACATGTGTACTGTTGGGAGTACTAGGGGCCTGAACCGTAGGCAAACACAACCATGGAACTCTAAAACAGCTCTTTGGTTTGACACATCGTTGGAAAATGTTGGATCAAGAGGTATCAAATTTCTTTTCTCGATGGTAGCAGTATTACTAGAAACAATTTGGAAGCAATGTCAGAAAAACAAAACCTTTCAGCAATCAGGAATCATTCTTTCTAGATGAGATGATATTATAGTAAAATTAGTAATAGCATTTGGCTGCATATGAAAAGGGTCACTCGACAAATATACTTATACTTGTGTGTTGAAAATCTGTCTATTCTGGGCAACTTAGTATGGTGTTTCCTGGTCCTTGTTGATTGACAGATGATTATTTCCTTGTCATTTTGTAGATCAAAGCTGATTGACTGATGATTATTTCCTGCTGCTGAGGCTGGGAGTGGAGCTGGACCTGCTGCAGCTGGTGCGTGGACAGACAGATTTCTTCTAAATGTTTTGATTGTTGGATATAACGGGTTTTGGATCTTTTGTCTATCTTGTAACCTGTGGTTCATAATCTGACAGATTTGGTATATGAAAATCTGTCATTTTTTCTTGGCTGACGTGTCAGCTGTTGATTTGTCCATAATTTGACAGATTTTGGGGCGATAAATCTGTCAACAGTTATCTAGTCAGTCCCTTCATATAATATAGCTGAACATAGGTTTTGTTCGGCTGGGGGGCCACATGCCAAGAAGAAATATGCAATCGGAGCATCCTTATTGACTAGCATAGTGCAATCAGGCCAAGCAATGGAAAGAAAAATTCTTCGCTGGTAGGAGGTCCACCTCAGCACCATTGGTAATCGTCTCATCAGACTTCATCATCTGCACTGCCATCTCAATTGGCCCTGAATCTTTCTATTGTTACTGCTACTGAGCCGATTGCTAAGGCCCCGTCGAGCAAAGGATGTGGAAGAGTCTGGGATCTAACGCGACGAGTGCTACTCATTGTTGTCCAGACAGAGTCTCGTCGACACGGCGAGCGACCTCAGCCGCACAATATCCTATACATCCATGTCCTTCTTGGAGCAGTACAGCAGCGTCGACATCAGCAGGCTGTTCGAGCCAATCGCCACCACCATGGCCACCAAGCCCATCGGCCGATTCTCGGCATCTACCGCTGCGCCTCTAAGATGGCTCAACATGAAGCCCCGCGCCGACATGATCAACCGCCGCTCCATTGGACAAGATAGGAGCTGGCGAAAGAAAGGTTCTATAAGCTCGTGCTCGGCGAGGACATGTCCGACGGCAGCAAGGGCGTCAACACCATCATGACCATCTCCAAGGACCGCGTGAAGCCATCGCTGACGACCGACTTGTAGAAACTCAAGGGGGCCCTCAACACGGGAATCGTGCTCGACACCTACATGGCGCTCGCCACGGTGCAAAGGACGCTGCACGGTCTCAAGATCACCACCAGCTCCGACATCTTTGGCGATAACCAGGGCTACCGTGAGCTGTCGGAGCTCGCCGAGCAGGCCTCAAAGTGCGCCAAGGTGTCCAAGCTCAGAGAGCTGCACAAGTCCATCATCAAGCTCAAGGGCCTCGACGTTGAAGCCATTCAGCAGAGCCACGCCGTGTGAACTCAATTCAGGCATTAAAACCGATGGGTTTTTTGTGTGATAATTAAACTCCATCGGCTCAAGGAGGCAGAGGCCTGGAGGCGGCCTATTGCATTTATCCTTGTTTATACGAGAAAGGAACCAGAGAGCAACTAGGATTCGTGCTCCCTCACCTCCATCATCAGCTCGGTTCTGTGCTTCCACATTCAGCAGAGAGCAGATAGCAGAGGGACGACGACGATGGGGTACGCAAGCCCGCCTAGGTACCTGGCAATCACAGGGTGTGGCATCAACGACGCAAAACTGGCGCAGCGCTGCATGCACTTTGACATCTTCCCCGTCAACTACACGTTTTTTAGCGCCTCTTCTGTTACGCCAAATTCATCTCCCCACGCGCAACAAGCTGTCCCACTGCGTAACGAGCTGATCAAGGGCGTTATCAAGGGCGAGATGCACGTGCTGGTAGCGTCCATGACCATGAAGAAGATCTTCCACGGCGCCAAGTCGTTCAAACAGGCTGTGTTCGAGAACGTGTATCTGGAGCTCGACCAGTTCAGCCTCATCATCTACAATGCCAACGTGAAGCAGCTGGTGGACATGCTGGGGCACGAATACTTCTCCTACCTGGACCAGAAGATGCAGCAGCAGATATACAAAAATCGGCAGGGGTCAGTGCAACTCCACGTAATTGCTAGAGCATCTGGTCTGAAAGCCGATTGCGAGATGCAAGGAGATCATAGGTTGGCTAAAAATAGAAGGCTTTGCACACATGTCAGCAAGCTAATCAAGGTTTTGAAGGAGGGAAGGCCGATTCTTACTTCCAGCAAATTACAACCAAGAATATAAGTGGTTCGGCCATGATAAACGGTAGCAAAGGTAAAAGTGAAGCCGATGATTTCAAAAGTACAAAACAAAGATGATGAATTAAATAGTTTTACTTCTACCATCGGCTGGAAACACTACCACTTTATCAGGACATTCCTCTGCTGAAGCACTCTGGCCGGTAACTTTCCATAAAGAAGAATCGGCTGCCCCCAATCTGATGAACCATTTGCTCCCAAAAAAGAGCACGACGTGCTAGCAACAACCAACCGGGTGGAGGCTGCCTTGTACGTGAAACGACGCAGGCAAGCTTCTAAGGAGCAAGGTCAAGGAGCTCGCGGCCAACCATGACGACAAGAACGTGAGGCTAACAAACAGGGCCGAGAGCATCCTCTTCTGCATCGACTATGTTTTCTCGTGGAGATGAGGCACTCATCGGATCAAGTGGTACGTGCATGCAGATGTGAGGTATGCTTTTTTATGGTTGGTTCGCATATTTCTTATTCCTTGCTTATATTTCTATCACTTGTGAACAATTTATCATAGAGAAAGCATACTATTTAAGTAATTGATGAATGAGATATGGTATGGTGAAAGAAACCTTACTTCTTTTTACAAAATACTTGGGAAGTTTTCTTACAAAAAATTTAAAATCAATAGCTTGTTTCCTCAATGATATTGAATTTCCTACCAGGGCCATATATTAGTCTCATTAAAAACCTTCCACATAAGCTGCTTTGTGTTGAGTTTTGTTAAGTCTTGTTGACCTTTGTTGAGAGATTTATCATGTTCCTAAGATCAAGATCACGTACACGCCATATATATGTGCTACTTCTACACTGGAAGTACGCAAAAATATGCTTTTCATCCACCCCAAAATGTTCTGCTCCTACCATAGTTATTAAGGCGTCGCCTAGTCGTCGCCTAAGCGTCGAGGCGCTAAAAGAAACTTGGGTGTCCCCAACGCCACGACCAAAAATCAGCAAAACAAGAGAGGAGGGGAGGCAGAAGAGAGGAAGAACTGGAGGAGGACTAGGAAGGCCAAGCACTTGTCTCTTCTCCATCCCCATCGGCTCCAGACGCTATGGCCGTCGCAAACTTCTACGACATCGGACATCTAGCAGGGGTAGCAGCAGTTAGCAACCCTCGATCTATGATCTACAGGTGACTGGAGAGGATCTGGAAGGGGGCGGCACCAGCAGTGAGGACGGGGAGAGGAAGAGGTAGGGAGGAATGGTTGCAGGCAGCAACGGCGCAAATGGAGAACGGGAGAGGGAAGGACGGAGAGAAGAGTCCCGCATAGAGAGGGGCAGTGGCGGCGGAGACGAAATGCTTGTCGATGGGAAGGGCTAAGGGAACAGATAGGTCACCAGGATGGATAT